CTTGTTGGTGTTAAACTACCTCAGCACATCAACCCCACCAAAAAGGGCCTGCCACTAAATGCCTACCGACGAAAATAGGCCGCACTATATTCAAATGAAATAACTTCTGACAATAAGGCTCGAACGAAGTTGCACCAGGGAACGATATTCGACAAGAGTCCAAGACAATTATTGACATGCATGTAAAATTGGACAAAACAGTAAGTTGCGCGACAAGGAACATAACAAAGGATCAACTCTTAACACGACAGCAGCTAATGTAAAGCCAGAGCTCATTATAGGCTTGGGTTCAATATAGAAATAGTGTTAGCAGTGCACAGCCTCTAAGACAGTGCATTAGGAATACGTCCAGAGTCCGACGATATCTGTACATCAGTTTTGTCTTTTATGAAGTGTGGAGCACCATTAAGAGCTGAGCTTGGAAGGGGGGGGGTTACTGTTGACACCACCACTAGCGCCGTTTATGTCCACTACAAGTTTTGCGTGGAGCTTAATGGTCAGACGAAGTTTATAGGTGGGACCGAGAGCCTAAATGCATTAACAAGGCCGCTGTGTCACGGGCATTTTAGAGCCGAAAGTCTCAGGGCAGCAGGTTGCAGAAGTCAATTAGATCTATTCGTCAGGCTAAACGCCATAGTGCCTGTTTTGATTTTTTTAAATTACGCGGTATCTCTTTCTTTAACATTAGCCTAATGACAAATGACGTCACGCGCGCCGCGAACGTGGAGAATTGTGCTTAGTGGGGGGGGGGGGGAATGAAACAGCGGGGGTTGAGAAAAATGGCGTATTTCTTTTTTTTTTTTAACAGACGAATAAGTGATAGATTCTAATTCTCATACGAACTATAGGTTGAACTAGTTTTTTTTTCTAGAGGGAGATATCACTATATTGTCGGTGTTTTTTGTTTTTGTAATAATGGATGGTGGGATGGGGTAAACATCGACTACTGAAAAAAAAAATAAACTGATGAAAGCAGAAGGCAAAGAAAAAAAAAACATGTGGTGTTCAAATGTAACTAATTAAAATTTAAACCTATTTTGATAAACAATAACCTTAATTCAGAAAAAGTGTAGGCCTAAGACTAATGTCTACAGACAAAATAAACAACTAGGCTTAAATCGATCGCCCTTAAATGACGTCATACTTTTCCCGATGAATTATCTTTCCCCAAATCGTCACTAAAAGCAAGATGATGATTTAATATCATATCGCAGTTTTACTATACCCGAACGCCCAATCACAATTTCTAACGAAAACGAATATATTCTTCATCATTTAAAAAAAAAAATATTTTACCCCGTCCCATATTTTGAGACAAGCGTCATTTATGAGGAATATGGACGACCTAATAATTGACAAGTTCATCAGTACAAAAGGGTTTAATAAATGTTGGACCTCCCAAAAGTTTATGAGATCTTGGATGTACATACATATATATAGCCTTCATTTCAATTGAAATTAAAGATAAGAAGACGGCCCTCTGTCCTACTTACATTAATATATATATATATATATATATATATATATATATATATATATATATATATATATATATATATATATATATATATATATATATACTAGCTGTAAGTTATTGCTTTGCTATAATGTAAAATAAATTGAAAGTTGCACTCTGAAGAAATAAATAATACACACAATGTAGGCCGACAAAAAAAAAAAAAAAAATAAATCACTCTAAACAAAAAAAAAATATATATATATATACAACCACTACAACAAAAACAACGCAACATAATCTGTTTTGTAATCATTGTAAAAAATTTTTTTACATAATAATTCTTGGGACATTAAAAGCGAAATAGGGGAAATAATCACTCTGTTAATATAAATGTGTATATGTCTACACATTTAATTATAAATATCAAAACAAATCAATAATAACTTAAAAATGTAATACAGTATCTTAACAATATTCGTTTTTTACAAAAAATATCTTGTCTACAATCAGAATTAAATATATTGTTATCATAAGTTCTAAAGTAGTACAGCATAACTAACATTTTTAAAATCAGAGTTGGAATAAAAGCAACCTTATAGACACTATAATAAAACATTCGGAATAACAGCCTACTTATAAATAAAACATTGGTCTTGCATTTTAGATCATACATATTTTAATTAGCTACAGACTTTTTGTGTTCATTAAACATCATTTTTCAACATAATGATAAGGTATGGGTTAGATCACTGTATTGCTCACACGCCTTTTTACTGGTAATTGCAAAAACAATATTCATAGAGATTTACGTTTCAAAAGCTATGACTCTGGCGGAATGGTACTTTGGTACATAATTACGCGTTTTCCCAAATGTACTTAACTGATCAGTTCGGGGGGGGGGGGGGGGGGGGGTTCAACTTCATTTACCACTGTCCAGTCACTTTAGGTCAATTATCCAACCCTGAGTTCATAGATGACTGTTCTAAACATACATATTCAATTACACGTGTATACTGATTCAGAAATATTTTTTTTTTACAGAGGGGTCCATGGGGGGGGGGGGGTTTATAACCCCCCTAACACCCCCCGCTTACGCCACTGAGCTGAGCGGATAATTAACTGTGCGATCGGTGTTAGTTTAAATTGAGTTGTTTTTTTTAAAATACAAAATATAGCATTATTCAAATTTAATATAGATCTAGATCTAATAAACTAAAATAATAATTAATATAAAGTTGATACTGTTTCATTTAATTTGTAATCGTAATCAGTATCGTCCGAACTGTAAGAATACTACTACTTCATCGTGATGACGTTGTTGGCCTTGTCAAAATTTCCCCACCGCTACGCAGTTCGCCCATAAGTAAATTTAAACAGAGGTGCCACATCAGTTGCATTTGTTTTTCTATTGATTAGTTGTACCAAAATATCAATAGTGCCTGATAAAGACCCTGGTATATTAAAGTAGTTTCCCTTTTGGACCTGTCAATCCATCATCCATAGAGCAGCTGAAGTAGAGTTTATCTGTTTTTTTACCACTGCACATGAAGTGATGGTGTGGTTAGCTCTCTGTCAAGCTATCTTTACTTTCCCTTACATAGGTCAGGTACTCATCTGAGCTTAGTGGGTGCTGCACGCTGCACAGACTCGTCTGAGATCTGAGCTTAAGACTTGCATGTTAGTAGTTTAGTGCTCTACCACACCATCCCTAGTTTTATTTTTCAGCATTCTTCTTATTAGATGCTTCAGTATCAATCACCAAAATTTATCCTATCTATTATAGTAACATTCTGGATATACATCTGTTGCAGTCACTATAATTACCATAAAAGGGTGCAACACCCTTTCATAGGACTTTTTAATTATATGCATTCACACTTAGTCTAATGTTTTTCTATATTTCTATTGCCCCCACCTTCTAGCAAAGTTTCAATTTTTAAATTTAAAAACAAACAAACATAGACTTTCTTTCAGTCTCCATATTGACTTATGGGGTCGTCCATAAATGACGTAATTTTGTGACGGTGTGTGATGAAGGGGAGGGGGGAGGTTCAGATGGTGCGACGTCACACTTTTGCATTATAGAAAAGCAATGTTAGCAAACGAATTTTAGATGTTATTTCGCGTTTTAGAAAACTGTTTTAATAAATTGTAATAGGAATTGATTAAAATACTCTATTTTGACAGAGTTCACACAAGGTTTTAGAAAAATGTCGATGTTTAAAAAAAAATTCAACTGCAATTTTGAGGGGGGGGGGGGTTGTAGGCTGATGTGTGACGTCACTTTAGGGGGGATGTGTGTGTGGAAAGGGGGGGGGGGGATACCTGTAGTTTTCAATAGCAGACAAAAAGTTTCTCAGCTATAAGCACAAATAAAGGTGTGGTTACAAAGGTCTGGTTTGATATTTTCTCCCGCCAACAATCACCCGCTATAATTGAAACTGTAATGCTTATTTTATTTTATTTATAATATTTTTTACCTTTTCTAATTGAAACACATTCATAAAAAAATAATTAGCTCTATATCTATCATCTAATAATTCTAATCTAATCCTAGTGTTTTCCTAACATTTTTGTGTGTTTTGGTTGTGTTTATAATAAAACTAGCTGCATACCCGTGCTCCGCCTCGGTAAAAACTTTTTAAATGTACCAAATTGGAAACAGAACAAAACTAATCAGAACAAAACTAAACAGAGTTTCTTCCAGGCATCTCTTCGGGGGGGCGAAGCCCCCCCGAAAATTTTTTACCGCCCCCCCCGAACGAAATGAACTTTATATAATTTATATAGAAAATATATACTTTTAACAGTGTCCGCCCCCCCGAAGAAAGTTTACCGCCCCCCGAAGATTTCAAGTGCCCCCCCGGAGAAAAAAGTCTGGAAGAAACACTGAAACTAAACACAACACACTACTTGTGTGCCGTTGATTGTCATTGGAACACTATTAAACACTGTTTGGTATGCTCTATACTAAGCTGAAACAAAGCATCATGGGCGTGTCTGTCAATGTGAAGAATGTATTTAGTCCATCCCATACATCGCCCACATCCACTTCTCGCTATTCAACCAACGACCAGTTTATAATCTTGTTACAGCATGCTGTGATAGGCTTTAACGCGTTCATCAGACTTCACATCGGACTGTAAACGACACATGTGTTAACGTGTATGCCCTTCGGTCCGTGTAGGCTTTGCCAGTAACTAATGTGGATGGGATAGCTCATTAGCATTCATTGTACGGAAACATAGTGCTTGACCCTAGCTACACGGATGTATGAACATACTTTTAATAAAATATTAAAATATACGAAGATAAACTCATATTTAAATACATATTCATTAATTCCCTCTCTCCCACATTACTAGTTTAGGCCGAATTTACGACGCTAAACTAATTACTAAGATTTTACCCTAGGAATCTAGTAACTACTATTATTATTATTACGAAATGACTACTCGGAAAAAGATGTTTCTATACATTATTTAGATTATTATGACATTGAATTTTTATTAGGTCTAATTCTACTAAAAATGTAATTGTAAATGGAGTTGCTCAAATGTCAAAAGTAATATTTCTGCCAACTTTTTTTACAATTTAAGTTTTAAGGGATAATTTATTAAATTCAATATGAAAATTTTTACTTTATTATCAAAATTTTAAGTTGTTTGGTTACATAACATATTGATCTAGAGATCAAGAACATTTTTTTTTCAGATGAAAATGCTAGTGTATGGATGTGGATTCAATGGTTTTTCACAAATTGCTGCATTTTGTTTTGATGATTTAAAATACAAGTATGAAAGAAGAGGATTTAATAAGCATTACAAGCAAACATTGCCAATCAACTTATTTGAACTAAAAGAAAATGATAACCTTATAAGTTTGGTTAACACTTGGTCACAGACAGCCATGACCATCAAAAGTAATTTTTAATATCTTTTTAAAAATGTACATAGAATAGGGGCCTAAATATTATTTTTATGATTAAACAACCATTTTCACTTAACTAATCAAGAACAACTTCCATATTGCATATATCAATGCCTAGTAAAATTACCAGCAATATAAAATAAAATCTTTAGAAAAAAAAATCTTAATCTTAGACTATACCATGTGTCAGCTCATGGTTAATGTTTCTTGATTTAGTTTTGCATACCTTTTTAAAGACTTTTACCTGGACAGATTACTCTTTTAAGTACATAATAATAGTTAGTAAAAGAGTAGTCAATTTTGCATTAAAATGATTAAACTAGGTTTTATTTTTAAATTATCTCTAAATACAGAATCTCTTTATTGTTTTATTATTTCAGATAATGATACCTCCACTTCTTATTTAAACGGATTTAAGTGTAATGACAATAATGAAGATGATAGTATCTGTACTTATACTAATCAACTGGTTATTGCTTCAACTGATAAGGATATCCTCCTAAAAAGTTATTCAAATCAACTTCCCTTTGGAATAGTGGCAAATGATAACAGTTCACCTCAGGCAGTTAACATTATAGGAGCTGAATCTTTAACATTAATCGCTGGAGATCATCTAGATTTCCATGCTGTTTATGGTGAGTTAAAATATTTAAAAAAAATTCAAATACATTTCTAAAATATAAAATAAGCAGAAATTGCCAGTTGGAGAATGCCTTATTTTATTTGACTGCCCAAATACTAGAAATTTCTCTGGGTTTCATAGCATGAGAGTTCATAATTGTTAAAACTGATTCAAAATCAGACAGTATGATAGTATGGTAAACCCCCCCCCCCCCCCACTAGAAATAAAAAAAAATGTAGCCTTATTCAATATAAACCTCAACATTACACTTATACAGAAGCAAAAAGTTTCACATATTAGTATAAGTTTAGGTTAATAGATTTGAAATATGCTTTATCATTAAAAGCTTTTATGAAGCTTTTTGAGAATTAAAAATCTTACAAGATGGGCAGTGGTGTGTAGAGAGCAAAAGCAATGAGGAAATTGAATTATTTTATCAAATAATGTTTATTTTGCAAAATAACAGTATGTAGCGATTCTGCTACAGTATGCAACGGTCAGTAAAAATATGTTAAAAAAAAAAGAATCATTATTGGAAATTTATTGAGTAATTATTGATTTGTGTAAAACACTTATTCATCCCCAATCTGGAGCATCAGAAATTCATTAACAAGATAGCAATTTACATTGTTTGCACTAAATTGTTATTACCAGTTATGTCATATTTCTTAGTAATCATGCATCTTTTTAGTGTGTCAGTCAATAAGCAGCTTCACTTTGCTAAGCAGGACCTCTATCTAGTATGATTTGAAATTGTTATTGTTTTAAATGCAAAGTGGTTTTCAATTACTCAAATTTGTTGATAGGAAAGAAATTAGAATATATCTACAATGACGATATTTGGCCATTATTAGAACTTTTCCTGTGTAATGAAACCAGGGACATGACTGTTAGAAGCCAATGAATTGATTTATATCTGCTATATCAAAGACTGCAAGCTTTATCTGGATTTCATTTGTGCAATGTAGATATAGAAAATCAGTTCACCCATTATACTAACATAGTCTTTATCCATGGTGTGAAATACTAAAATTTTGAACAGCCGAAAGCCATTGCACTAAAAACTAAGTTGGTCGATTCCTATTCCTCACAAATACTAGAGAACATTCATGTGTTTTAGTTAACCACTGGCTGGACTAGCATCTGCTTACATCTTATGAATGTACATCTTATAAATGTAGGCCTACAGCTTATGAATTTATATCAGAATAAAGTCTACAGCTTTACCACCCGATCATTCTCTGCACTCTGCTACCCATCTTTCCCACTACGTTCTGCTCTCATCTTCTATCTCACGGCGTTCTTTCTTGTTTCTCATAAATCTTCTATCTCTCCCCATAACACACCCAGATGTGCATCCAGTAGCGGCAACAATGTTTATCAAGATCAAACTATTCTATTTTGGTACCACCAGTTGCATATTCTCGATTAATTGCTTGTCCATTTGTTTTTAAGTTACAAGTCAAATTTTATTTGAGTCACACCAGCTACGTATTTATATCTGTTCCATAGTAACTATAAATAGCTCATTTCAGCTCTAGCAAATACGTTGTTTTTGTAACTACACTAGTTTTATATATATATATATATATATATATATATGGTCGATGGTCTCGGTCGCAAACCGTCTAACTAACAAAAAAAATCGATTTTCTTTTTTTACGTAAATCAAAAGCCAGTTTGATTCCCCATAACGCCTGAAAATATTAGAGAATAATGTGGCCAACAGATTCTGTATAGTTTGTGAAAAACATTGTAGTGCAGCTCATTCTTGTGGATCCTGTGGCAACGATGTCCATGCTATTTGTGGAATACCCAATGAAGCAGACGAAGGGTACGGAGGGAACATTACCTGCAGATTGTGTCACAACAAACAAGACATCATTGAACACAGGTCAGCACCTCATACTAGCTTGCAAACTCAAGGTACTAAGATGCTTAAAACATCAAATACAAAATTTAAAGATGCTGATGTGGGTCACAATGTACGCATCCGTGTTCCAGATGTTGACAGAGGTCGCGGTGATCCCCGAAGCGTGATTGCAGTTGTCATGAGCGTCGAGGGCGGTTTCTACAAATTAGGAACGGAACATGGTGTTCTAAAACAACTGTATGCTAGAAGTGAGTTTTCAATTCTTCACGAAAAACTGCTCTTATTGTCGTCAGTTAGCACTGAGGAAAAATCACTACGAACCATCGCATCTTCACAATCATTGACTGGGGGCTAAGGCTACACTCGCTGCATTTGCACAACCAAGTGCACAGCAAATCGCTGCAAGTGTAAAAATAACAAGCTGCTATGTAATTCTAAATGCCATAAAAGTTCAATTTGTTGTAACTAATGATAATATTGATTGATTGAGACTATAGTACAATAAAAAAATTGAATGTTTCTGTCATTTACTTTAATTAATAATCAATAAAAGCTTTATTTCATTAAAAAAAATCTGCTCATGATCTTCTAATTCAGACTTTGGCCGGTCGTCCCTAGCCAGATGATCTTTTAATTAAGACTTTGGCAGGTCCACCATGGCCAGTCCGCGGATTTGCCGGCCGAAGACCGAAATCAAGCAAAGTTTCGGACTTTGACCGGTCAATGGATCCACAAGAATGCGCTGCACTACAATATTTTTCACAAACTATACAGAATCTGTTGGCCACATTATTGTCACGCAACTGGTCTGGACGTTGCGCCACGGCAGGAGATGTGTTAGCAGGGGATGTCGTTGCAATTATGGCAACCTCCATTTCTTGTTCAATGTTCTCAAGATCTTCCTCAGTAGCTAACTTATCGAGAGCCTCTCTTGGTAGATTTGAAGTGCTTTGCATCCAAACAAGGCTTCGTATGGCAATTGTTGGATTCCTTGATGAAAATTTCGGTTTTTCATAAGACTCTCAACCCAATGAGCTGATTCATCTGTCTACATCCATGTCATCATCATGTTTTGAATATCTTGGTTGGCAAGTTCTACTGAACATTGGCTTTGGCTATGGCTTGGTTTTCTGTGAACTAGTTTAAGTTCAGGCCACAAATTCTTTTCCATTAGGATTAGGATTATTTATTTTGACAGCCATCTGGTATGTCTGTCTCTTGATCTGACGGTCCTTTTGTTCCATGTCGCATTGCATATAGAATGCTATACAAACAAGAGCCAAACTCACAATGAAACCGTACCCAGAATAATGAAAACGCGATCACAACTTAGTCTACATAGACCATTGGCCAGGACATCCCGGCCAGTCCGCGCATTGGCCGGCCAATGCGGGCTTTGGCCGCACTTCGGGCTTTGACCGTTACATATATATATATATAATATATATATATATATATATATATATATATATATATATATATATATATATATTGGGGTGCGTTCAGTAGGGTGGAAGATAAGCCCGGCGAGAACCAAAGGACAGAAGCGACCGATACGGTAATCAAACTGATACCCAAGCCATTTACTCGCAGTTGGCTGTGTTGAAGTCTACCTGGCTAATTGGAGACATCGTGGGCCAGTGATGTCCGTAAAGAAAAAAAAAGTTATTAGCTTCTAAAGCAGATTAGGATAGTGCTATTATAGTTATATTATTTGATTATTTATTTTATGGCAGAGCTAGCTAAAATACTTTAATATGTTTTGTGTGAAACATTTTGTATGATTTTATATGAATAAATATAATTTCATATTTAAGGCTATTTATTACAATTTCCTATAGATGGTTCCAAGTTTGGAAAACTTACTATTTCTTATACGGGAGATGACAATGGACAAAATGGAATATATTTCATTCAAAAAATCATCAACACAAGAATTTTAATCAAAGAAGTGAGCTGTGGTAAAGAGCATGTATTGTTATTGACGAACTGTGGGACTCTTTTTAGTTATGGAATAGGGAGGTAAGGTTTTTAATCTACTACTTTAGTTAAGCTTCTTTTCCTTAATAATATCAGTTGAAGAAAAACAAAACACAAAAAACAAAGCAACTTGATAGTGCGCCTTCAATCTTACCGAAAGTTTATTTACGACATCTAAATAAGGTTTTTAATCTACTACTTTAGTTAAGCTTCTTTTCCTTAATAATATCAGTTGAAGAAAAACAAAACACAAAAAACAAAGCAACTTGATAGTGCGCCTTCAATCTTACCGAAAGTTTATTTACGACATCTAAATAAGGTTTTTAATCTACTACTTTAGTTAAGCTTCTTTTCCTTAATAATATCAGTTGAAGAAAAACAAAACACAAAAAACAAAGCAACTTGATAGTGCGCCTTCAATCTTACCGAAAGTTTATTTACGACATCTAAATAAGGTTTTTAATCTACTACTTTAGTTAAGCTTCTTTTCCTTAATAATATCAGTTGAAGAAAAACAAAACACAAAAAACAAAGCAACTTGATAGTGCGCCTTCAATCTTACCGAAAGTTTATTTACGACTTCTAAATATTGTAACGTTTTTTACTGACTGAAAATGTACTGTTCTTGCTTCTATCAAAAATAATAATCTTCTTCTCTTCTCACTCTCAGTCACAGACGATCACGAATGACGAAGAATAAGTCGTATTCTGCAAATCTTTATTTGACTATCTTTCTTGAGCGGGAATTGTCTGTGTAGGACGAATTCTAGCGCTTACCTGTGAAAATTTCCCCCGCTTTTGTGCTCACCGACCCCAAATAACCCTTTATAAAAACTTAACGCGATCTCCTAAAATTCTAATAAACTTATCCTCTGAAACCACAGACAACTCCCTTTACAATGATACAAATTACAAATATCATCAATAAGTTGTTCTTAAACAATAATACTTCAAACATGCAAATATTGTAAAAAAATATCATCTAATACACCTAATTAAAGTAGATATCCATAATATCGGCTTGCTCCTAACTAACACTAAGATATTCTAATTAAAGATCAAGCTTGGCCTAATAGTTCTTCCAATTTGCATGCTATAATAACAACTATTTATTGAGATATGAATTTTTCTTCTTGCCCTACTAAGCACAATTGACTGATTTCTAACAAATTCACTACAAAATACTAAACTACCCGTCTAGACCCTGCACTGGTCTATGAAAAACCTATATACAAAGGACAGTGACTTGTTTGTTAAGCAGTATATACCTGGCATTGCCTGGGTTTAGAAAATATATTACTAGGCATGTCAAACGGCAGTAAAAAAAATGCCGTATCGCCTGTGTTGCCCAAATGTAGTAGCTTTTCACTTCATAGTTTCTATAATAAGAAGGGCTCGTATAGTAACAAGCTTTGTACCATTTAAAAGTAGATTTTAAGCCCTCTTCTTATGCGTATTTTTTATAGTTGTTGATATTACACAATATACCTTATTTATCAATTGAAAACAATCACCGAGATTATTTTTTTACGGATTTTGACCCCTTTCTCATTCAACTTGCGGGCCTTTTTGACCGTTCAATGTATTTCTTTACAAATATCTGTTAAATGTGCAGAATTAGTGGGGGTACTAAACAAAAAAATGCATAATAGACTAAATATTTTAAATGTTAAAAAACGAAGAAATTCGAAAATTAGCCTGTGATTCTGACATTGTATACATTTTTTTCTAACATTTCAGAAAGGTGTGTTTTTTTTCTGTTTAAACACTAAAATTGTTTATCATTTCTGAGCATGGTCAAACAAGGCCGAGCTCGACAAAACACACTATAGCAATAACTAAAATAGCTCTAAGCCCAGTCAAAGAAAATGGCTGTTTTCTTCGTTAGCTTTTCTAAATTGATGTTAGCAAGTTTAAGGGGCTTGATAGTTCAGTAAAAAAAAAAAATAAAAAAAAACATGTAGCTACTTAACAAATGAGTTTGTCAGTCTAGTTTTTATAGTTTATTTCTTCAGCTTATTTTTACTTTTTCGTTTACGAAGTATAGAGTATTGTAATCGTGCAAAAAAAAAAAGGAGAGATTTTTACAAATCTCAACGTTTTCCACCTCCTTGAGTCGAAAAACATAGTTTTGCAATCTTGTCAGTGTGTGTGTGTGTGTGTGTGTGTATGTCTATCAACACGATAACTTTAGTACCGTTACAGCTAGGTTGATGAAATGTCATATATAAGTATAATATCAAATTTGTAGTTCAGTATCAACTTTTCAGCAATTTCCGGACGTGGAACTTCATCTACTTTCAATTTTTCTAAAGACTACATTAAAAAATCAGAAACTGAGATCGAGCATCTAATAATACACCATTAGTAACGCTAAAAAATTGCACCAGTCACACGGATGTTTATAACACGTGAATAATTTTTATTCTACGTGTTAAAGAAGAAATCATGCAGGTTTTTTCACTTTGTTTCGGGATGCTATTTGGCGCTCTGGGTTATCCTGTGAGCACCAGGGCGCTAACGTTAGTTATGCGGCACCCCTGCGGTAGTGTAAACCGAGGCTATGGAGATCGCCCCTCTAAGTCCCTGACACCTGGGCGGTCACCGAATTGTGTTCTATCTCACTATTACGGTGATTGATTAACGTACACGCAAGTCTTTCATGCGGTAGGTAACCCGTGCCCTGATAAATATCATCCAAGCGCAGGCATTTTTTACATTTAAATTTATTAAACTCAGTTCTAGAAAAAAAAAGTCACACGTCTAAGAATACAGGATGTTTAACGCATTTATGGAACGCTTCTTATTTATTTCGCAGGCATTGTTTACATTTGAATTTATTAAACTCAGTTTTAGAGAAAAAAAAAGTCACACGTCTAAGAATACAGGATGTATAACGCATTTATGGAACGCTTCTTATTTATTTCGTCAGGCTTTCTTCTATCCCCGCGGCATCTTGCGGGTACGGGCACGCTGGTTTAAATTAAATTAATGTAAACTTTATATATTAAAACAAAATTTTAATTTAAAATGTGAATTTATTAGGTACTAATAATATTCCGCACTATTATATACAGATTGTTTGGCGTTCACTTGGTGCGCAGTACTTTTTTCTATAAGATTCTATTCTATTTTAAAAAGTTTATGTAAATAAAAATGGATACAAAATCATGTCTATATCCCGAGGTGCCATCCCCCTTAGTGCTACATAAGAATATTCAAAAAAGTTTAGGGGAGATCACTTCCGGTTTATTTTAATAGGAATAATAGAATGCTACTTTAACACTTTGGAGGAACGATGTTGGGCTACCTTAAAGATATTTTTTTAAGTTTTTGCCTTTACGCATATCGTATTAATTACGTATTAATTATGTAATTATGTACTAATGTACTAATACTAATGCACTGTTAGGTATACATTTCAGGACAAAACTCTGTGGGTCATACAATTAATTAGCATTATCACCATTGATTATTCCAGTTCCGAGTAGCACGCCATCTGTTTAGATCCAAAAAAAAAATTTCGAGCTAAGGGTAATCCATCCATGATGCCAACAAGGAGTGGGACGGATGGGTAAAAAATCAATTTTACGACCCTGAATATATATTACTATAGGCCTGTAGAGAAAACACTGTAAACTGATCACCTTTCCCTGCGGCATCTGGTGGGCTTTTTATATATGAATTCATCAATCTATGAAGTCAACAAAAATCTTGAACTTGAATACGCTTTTATTTTTAGTTATTTAGATAGTACTTCATTATTTTATATTTACAGAAAATCATTTATTTTCTCTTTCTTTTGTTTATTATCACATAAAGCTTCTTATTTTAACTGTATTTATGCATTTTTTAAGTACTTCCAGTTGCATGACAAAAAACTTTTGCGCCAAATGAACAAAAAGAATCTATAAAATAATTTCGCTATTTTGTCTGTCATCTAGAGAAAACACGTGGAAAATAAAGACTGTCACGGGCAAATTGAATTACGTTACATTAAACTAAGAGGAATTTATCTAATCAAGTCAAACGAGACCAAACATAAACTTTCAAAAACTACGCACAAAAAGAATTACTGGAAACTGAACTTAATTCGGAACCAACATATTAACATGAACCGGAAATTTAATACTAAATTTATACTAAATGCGGTTGTAGATCATACCCCGAAACCTTGCCATTAAGCTCACTCGATTCTTATTAAATTGGTTCCAGATCAATTACTACACATTCATACTAATTACGGATGTAGATCATAACCCCAAACTTTGCCATTATGCGCACCCGCTTCTTGTTAAATTGGTTCCCGATAAATTACCGTTTCCATTTCAATTTTAGGTCCAGATTAATTTCCGCTACCGGTTCGAAGTTTAGATTATTTTGAGGTGGAGATGTTGGTTTTGGCTTTGGATTTTAAAATAAAAAGACACAGTATCAGCCTAGCGCCCTTTGTATTTACCCTTCAACGGGCCAATCACCTAGTTATATCGATTTTTAGTCAGCCGTTGTAAATTAATGTGACACTACATCATGCGACTAAAAATGTATGCGTTCAAACTTGAACAGTATAAGACAGTTATATTTTAATGCCCAACCTTATGTCTAATTAAATTAAAAAATAAATATTCTTGCATTGTCATCAGATGTGAATGTATCAGTAAAGTTGGAACAAAATTGCTACATTAGAAGTGTGTCAGAAGTACGTTAAAGATTTGCCACATCCCACACACACAAAACATATAGTGTAAACTAAATAAAAACCTATAAAAAGGCATTGCTGTCCTAAAAATGTCATGAAAACTATCTCAGAACCCACGAGGTCTGTTTTCTTGTTAGTTATGTAATGATTAAATTAAGTTATCAATTATTATTTTTTAACAGTAGAGGACAACTTGGCCAAAGTTCAGTTGATACAAAAAAAGTTCCGACTTTGCTGGATGCACTAAATGGAATAGAAATTAGAAAAATTTCTGCTGGCGGTTGGCATTCAACTGCAATATCAGGTACTGTATTACAATTGTTTTAAAATTAAAATGAACGAGCCGGCCCGCGGCATAACATACGCCGCTATTTAGTTGTTTCTAATTTTCAATAATTCATAATTTGTGAATTCGACAGTACCAACGCTGACACTGAAAATATTTCTTTAAAACACTATAAGTAGCTCGTTAAGGACCATAACCCCCCCCCCTTCCTTCCCTCCCCCCCTCCCCCCCCCCCCCCTACGTTTAAAATCGTTGGCTCTGCTTGTAAACATTTAGAGTGAACACAGCTCACTAAAACCATGTAGGGGTGGGGAGGTAGGGAGAGCGTTTGCAGCTTGTTTTCTAACGGCTCGAAGAAGAGAATTATATATATAGATACATAGCCATTGGCAGATTTATATACTAGATGTAGGGTTAGTTTAGTTGATTTTTTTTTATGATTATAGAAATAAAAGTGTTTAAAATGGATTCTCCAGCCCTGCAGCTGTTCACTGCCCCGCGATATTTTAGAAATAGCCAAATAATTGATTATGAGGAGATAACGTAACAAAAACATTTGGTTTCCAATGTCCTCGATTCTTTGCAGATGTCGGTGACTTGTATGTTTGGGGATGGAATGATTGTGGTCAGCTAGGACTTGCTGCATATAAAGAAAATGTATTAACCAATGTTCAGACAGAGCCACAGTATGTTCACTTTTCTGACGAATGCTGTATGAAGTCCGTTGCTTGTGGTTCAAGACACACTGTCATATTATTAGGTTAGGACTATAATTATGTTAATTCGAGAGGCTTTATTGAATCGAGCTTCAACTGTTGTAATACTTGACCATCTAAGTGTCTGAAAGTAATTATTTTCCTATTTAAATATTTTCATTTTAATATTTTTCAGTAGTAGTTTACGCCTGGCTGTTATTGTTTTGTATAACTAAATGATCCTTAACAACTATTTCTATAGTTTATTTTGAATTGTTTGGAAAATTATAAAATATGCACTTGACTATGTTTAAAAACTGTGTATCCTTACTGAAAATGAGCGAGCCGTAGTAGTATGTCTACATTGTATTTCGTTTTGGACCTTCGTAAAAAGTTGAATTTATTTATTTGTTTAGTTACAGACTTGTAATTTTGTAGCCACTGTCCCAAAAAGCAACTGTTCCCCATACCCCCCTTGAATACGCCTCGAACACCACCCCTCAATATAAAATATCTAGGAATAGGATGAACACAAGTGACAGTCATAACAATTCTGGTTATTGCAGTTTCAGAGGTAACGCTATTGAAATTAAGTAGCAAGCAAGCAGTAAATGTTTCACCTATGCACAGGAACATAGAAGAAAAGACTGACTGATCATAAACTAAGTGGATAGCGAGACTATTATATATAGTAAAACCACTTACTACAAACTTTGGTTTTATAGGTTCTCTAAGAAAGCACCTACCCCTAGGTCCAGCCTCCACATGTGGTCTCCACTAACTTTTCCGTATATTCCTATATATCAATTTGGATTGCACTTCAGTTTGTGACAAAAACGCTCGAAAAGTGCTTAGACAATGCTTTATGAGAATATGGTGTAAAATTATCAAATTTTAACAGAGACATAAAAGATCATCTTTGGAGACTTCGATGGAAAATTGGGAAAGACAAGAGTAGGCACATACATTGAAACAGTGAACTCTTTGCTCTATATCAGGGGTCTCCAAACTTTTCAATCCGAGGGCCGCATTAACTATCAAATTTCAGTTCGGGGGCCAGTTTCTTCCAGGCATGTCTTTGGTTTTTCTGGCCAAAGTTCCTCAGCTATCACCAACAAACGATTTTTTCTTGGACAAAATGATCTCCGCGAGCCGGATGAGAGGACTTCGCGGGCCGCATCCGGCCCGCGGGCCGTAGTTTGGAGACCCCTGCTCTATATGACCACGTCATTGATGGAAAATTTCCCACATAAAGCCATCCACAAGACTACCTAAACCTCCTCTGACGGAAAAATCTGACAATCAGATTTACCACATTAAAATTAGTAGAAAGTGGAAAAATCTCTCGGATGTAAGAGTAAAGCCATGAACAGATGGAGCGTCAAATCATCAACTGCTCATCGCAACGTTCAAGATCAAGCTGAAATCATTCAGTGAGACCACTGACAGAAAACATCACAAATTTAACACTAAATACTTGAAAATCAAAGAGAAACAAGAATTGTTCAAATGTGAAATTAAGTGCCTTTTCAAAGCCATCTCACGTTTGATAGAAGAAAGCATATAAAACTATTTGGCTAGAGTTGAAACACGTCTGGAAATCAACATGTACCGAAGACCTGGAACAGAAAGACATGGAACACATAGTGTATGCAACATGCACTAAATTAGAAGCAGGAAGAAATGCTGTTCATTTAAGATAATAAGGAAATACGGCTTCTGTTTAATTATAACCGACTTTGAGGTTTTCCCAAAGGGAATACTAAATTCTTTTTTGTAGCTCTTGACGAGATCGTAGAAGCTGACCGACTATTATTATATAGATCTATGACCTATTGAATTACCGATGTCCAAGCAAAAAATTAGCCAAATGTACAGAATGTGTTTACCCTAAAAATACTAAAATGAACTATTTGAAAATTAGCAATAAATGGAGAACTTATTAATGATACAGGCTGTAGTTAAAATGATGTTGGATATATTAAATGTATAAACTAAATTTTATTTTAAAAAATAAAATTAAAAAAAAATAAAGGCATATTCGAATGTAGAAACCGGAAAAGTGTTTATTGTCGTGACAAGGACAAAAAAAATGACGTCACTTGTAACATGTTAAAACTACGGATAGTACACAACTCTAATGGCTTCATCTTCCGATTTTAGAATATGAAGAAATGAAGTATTTCATTCAAATTTGATTTAGATATACAGATCTACTTATCAAAACGTACACTATGAAATGTATATCATTTTCTCGGCACAAACTAATAAAAATTACTTTAAAAAAAACAACACAAATACCATTGAACAGCCGGGGTTTTAACGGAATCATTTAAGTCTCTTAATCAGTGTGTGCTTATAATTTGGTTTTAATTTTTCTAATAGGTATTAGTAGCCTATGTTGTTTTAATGTGTCGGATTTTTAGCTATTTAGTTGTTTCTTTGCTTTGTGTATGCACTATGGTGCATATATTTAGGTAGTCCAAACTGGCGAAAGAGTGCGTTTTGAGGTCATTTTTGTGGCTTTCAAAAAAAAAAAAATCTCACTACTTCTAGCAGGTGAGTGCTATAGTATAAGAATAAAGTTTGTATGTCAATAAAGTTTAAGTCTTCTTCTGTCGAAATCTTGTGCTTTTATATCTGTAAGTTACAGATATAAAAACACATGTTTGAATGTGTGTAGTTATATTTGTTTGAATAGTATCGGTTACGTAAAAAATTGACCGTTTTGCGAGTACCGATCGACTACATACTGTTTCGTTTGGTCGCGGCTTAGCATCGTAGAAACATAATCGTAATGTCCTTTGAAAGGGCGAAATCTAGCCTATCGTTTGATGTATAAATTAAAATAATAATGTCTTTATTTATTTTTAAGAAAGTACTCAATTTTTTATAGCTAGTTTCTAAGTTTGTGTTGTAAATTCACTTATTTCTCATTTACGGCCGCGAAGCCGTGCCCTCACTAAACAATTATCCCTTGAGTCGACTTTCAGCCCCCAGTGAGTAGCTCGCTGAACGGTTTTAAGGGTTGACGACTGATGATGCTAAACGGATTTTTACCCTTGTTATAGCCTTCAAACAAGTTGTAAGTACTATTTTAAAGTTCATTTCTATTTTAATAAATGAATTTTAAGTTTGAAAATTCAGGTTGGTTTAATATAAATTTGAACGATTGTAGTCCACGGTTTTAGCGTGTGAACTACACTTTGTTTAGACGTGAAGCTATTTTATTGAGAACATTCTAAGGACTTAAAATATGGATGCAGTTAACTATTAGATGCTAGTTCATACAAGAGATGATAGCGGAGGCAGAAACTGCAGCACAAGGAAAAATGAAGAGGCTCTGTGAAGTAACCCGGACCCTATCAGGCAAAAATATTAATCCCAACAAACCAGTAAAGGATAAAGTTTGGAAATAACAAGTGACACAGAACAGAGAGACAGATGGGTACAGCACTTCGATGAGATTTTAAACCATCCTCTCTCATCAAACATCCCTGATATACCACATGCAAATCACCTACTAAATGTGTGTACAGATCCACCCACAAAATTAGAAACAATAAGAGCAATAAAGAACATGAAAATGGCAAAGCAGCTAGCCCGGACGGCATTCCACCAGAGGCACTAAAAGCAGACCCAGCCATATCAGCAGACATACTACATCTTAAGCAGATTTGGGAAGAAGAGATAATCCCATCTGACTGGAAAATGGGATACCTGATAAAACTGCCAAAGAAGGGAGACCTGACTCAATGCAACAATTGGAGATGGATAATGCTACTTTCAGTCCCAAGTAAGGTGCTGACAAGAATCACCCTGGAGAGACTTAGAGATGCCTTGGACAAAAAGCTGAGACAAGAACAAGCTGGTTTTCGCCAAGACAGGTCATGTACTGACCACATTGCCACGCTGCGCATCATTACTGAACAGTCCCTCGAGTGGCAATCCCCCCTATACATGACTTTTGTCGACTTCGAAAAGGCGTTTGACAGTGTGAATAGAGATGTTATCTGGAAGCTAATGAGCCACTATGGAATACCAAAAAAAAATTATATCTATCAGACAGAAACTATATGAAGACTCCACCAGTCAGGTAATACACAAGAGAAAACTAACAAAACCATTCACGGTGACGACGGGAGTAAGACAGTGATGTATGCTATCGCCAATGATATTCTTGATGGTAATCGACTGGATCATGCTGAAAACCACAAAAAACGACACAGGAATCCAGTGGAGTTTCACCAAAAGGCTGGAAGATCTTGATTTTGCCGATGACATCTGCCTACTATCTCACAAGCGTCAATATAAACAAGCCAAACTAAATCGGCTATCTGAAGAAGCCTCCAAAGTTGGACTAAAAATCAATAAAAATAAAATAGAGGTCATCAGAATCAATAACAGCCAGGACCTGCCCATACAGCTAAATGGAGAAGATTTACGAGAAACAAACACATTCACATATCTGGGAAGCGTGATCATTAAGGACGGGGGAGAACACGAGGACATAAAATGCCGTATCAACAAGGCTAGATGTGCCTTCAACTCACTGCGCCCAATGTGGAGGTGCACGGCCCTGTCACAGAGCAAAATGGGGATTTTCAACACGAATGTAAATGCAGTGCTGCTCTATGGCTCAGAGACTTGGAGGGTTACGAAGACAAATAGTGATAGGCTACAGGCATCCTTAAACAAATGCTTACGACAAATACTTAAAATATCAAAGACCTGTGGCAAATTTTAAAGCCAATAGAGAAAGACATCAAGGCACGTAAATGGGGGTGGATCGGACACACACTAAGAAGAGAAAAAGAAAACATCGCAAAACATGCATTGGACTGGAATCCCCAGGGGAAAAGGAGGGTGGGCCGGCCAAGGAAGACATGGAGAAGAACGGTTAAAGAAGAGGCGAAAACAGCTGAGCTCACATGGGCACAGATTAAGGGAGCAGCCCAAAACCGAGTCCGCTGGAAATGTGTGGTTGCAGTCCTTTGCTCCCCAGGGGCCATAAAGGAATGATGATGATGATGATTAGATGCTAGTGTTTACGGATTCTTTAAAATCTATCAAATGGTATTACTATTGTTTATCTGGACTATCACGTCAAAATTATTAATCGACAAATTCAAAATGGCCACCAGACAATCCCGGTTACTATGTAAACGGACTCAATTACTTGGAACGAAGGTTAAATACTTATAAAATATTGATGAATCACAAAAATTTATAATTATTATAACTATTTTTGTATATAGATTTTTATCCATTTATTTAAAACTAAAGACATAGGTGATTTATTTTTTAATTTCTCCTTTGCACTCTGATTCTGATTCCCTGCTGAATAATGTGAAATGGTCTACGCCAGTCAACTTCATCAAATGTACTAGATCAATTTTTAAATGATGGTGCAACTTATTAAGATTGTACATGTTGTGACTTAGTTTTAAATGCTATTTTAGTTGCAAGTGTAAGTAGTACTAGTAGTGTTTCTCATAACTTATTTTATATGCACATAGTAACAATGAAGGACAGTTAAGTTGTCTTATAGGATGTTGAGAACCACAGTATGGCATCTTCATCACTGAATATCTCAACCAGTGTGGCACAAGCAACGAATATTTCATTCAGTAGACCTACTATTAAAAATATAATATGTAAGTATACTATCAAGCATAAAGTATTTATATACAAAAAGTTGTATTCAGGCTTTTTCATGTTTCCACTTATTAGACAAATAGAAATAGTAGTATTAGTAGGCCTAGACAATAGGCCACTAGTAGTAGTAGTACATTTAATTATGTTTTATTAATCACTAAATCAATTGTTTATTCCACATCTGAAATAATTTATGATGGCTAATCCAGAACTTTCCTTACAGAAGGGAAGAAGGCCAAGCTACCCCCCCCCCCCTACAATTCTCAAAAATATATCACTCACTCTTGGTAACTTGATGCTACCCAAGATCAATGATAAGGGAAACAAGACTTAAAAAGAATTGGAGTTGTGGTTTTAAAAAAATGTTCCCCCACAGCAGTTATCAACCCTATAGGTTTGTAAAGAAACCAAAGCATGTGGCAACTGCAGCATCACCTGTGGGGACCAAGTCTTTATTAGGCTACATTACAACTCTACTTAATTTAGATTCTCTTGCACTATATAAATGTGGCATTTATAAAAATAATATTTTAACTCTTGTGATTTTTGGAAATAATGAACACATTCTTCCTGTTAATGTTACCGCAATAGCTTTAGATTTAGAGTTATTCTATGTCTAAAGCAAACAAAAATTAAAAAATTAATTTTGAAATTTTTTTTATTTTTTTTTTGGAATAAAAGTAAAAATGACCAAAACATATTCTTGTAATTTTTAATTATTTATGTACATTAGAAATATTCATTTTAGATGACTGAAAAGAATTGGGCGTATATATTGCAAACTTTTCAGCAACTTTACTAGTTTCTACACTTCTTTATTTATTTTAGAAAATATTGGTTCTCAAAAATGGCACTTTTTGAAAATCAGTTTTTTACTTTCTCGTATATACGAAGTATAGAGAAAGTCTTGTAATCGTGCAAAAAAATCGAGATTTTTACAAATCTCGACGTTTTACACCACATTGATACGGAAAAACATAATTTTGCAATCTTGTCTGTGTGTGTGAGTGTGTCTGTCTGTGTGTCAACACGATAACTTGAGTACCGCTACAGCTAGGTTGATGAAATTTCATCTATAAGTATTTTATCAAAATCGTAGATCCGTATCAACTTTTGAGCGATTTCCGATAACCGGTAGTGGTACTTTTTCTACTTTGAATTTTTCCAAAGCCTATAACTTAAGTACTATTTCAGATAGATAAATGAAATTTCACATGTAAGTAAAAGATCTAATTCTCTGCCTTCTATCAAATTTTGAGTAATTTCCGTTAACCGGAAGTAGTAATTTTCGCTATTTCCGATTTCTCAAAAAACGCATGTGAATTTATAAAGTACTAATAATATTCCGCACTATTATGCACATTTTGTTTTGGCGTTCGCTTGGTGTGCAATTCTTTTTTCTACGAGATTCTATTTTTATAAGTTAAAATAATTAAAAATCATGTCTATATTCCGAGTTGCCATCCCACGTAGTGTTATATAAGAATATTCGAGAAAGTTTAGGGGAGACTACTCCCGGTTTATTAGATTTTGCATTCAAAGCGACCGGAAAAATAATTTTAAAAAATAAAAACTTTAACCTAAAAATAATTCAGATATTTAACATTTTTACAATCAATGTTATAAAAGTTGCACATTCAGAGAACTGGAAAATAATGTGTTGAGTTCAAGGCTACATTTCTCTTTATTTTCATCAAGCCTAAGTTAGACAAACATTTATCGGCTGTACAGGAACTCCGTTATCGATTTATGACAGCCCCACGTCATAGTTTTTTGTTTACAAAACTTTGCAGATAAAGTTTTAAAATAACAATGCAAATTTAAACCCCATGACCTAGTTTCCCCTATTTTCGCTTACAATGTGTACAATAAAATGTCTGCTAGCCTATCAAATAGCAGGATGCCATTGTTTATGTCGCCATTACACGTCAAAACCAAATTGGTTTTGCTTTTTCTTTTTCTTTTTTAATTAGTTACCGAAAATAATAGAAACATCAAATACGTCCAATCTTTAGTAAAGTCCGAAAAAAACCAAAAAGACAGGATTTTACAGCCATATTAATTTAAACTACGCCCAGTGTTTCTTCCAGACTTTTTTCTCCGGGGGGGGGGGGGGGGCACTTGAAATCTTCGGGGGGGCGGTAAAAAATTTTCGGGGGGGCTGGAAGAAACTCTGACTACGCCGTGTATGATTTTTAAGATATTTAATGGGCCTCTCGAATCCATTTGGAACTTTACTTGGTCGCCTCCGTTGGACAATTATAAAAATACAGCGTCGATAAAATGTTGATGATAAAGAAATCTTTAGAAAAGAACAGCCAGCCTGTTCCAATATATTCTAGAGCCGATATGACAACCCTGTTTGATCATCTTAGTTAAGTTTATAGCATAGACATATAGCCATTTCAATATCCGACTAAATCAACGTTGACTATTTGTAAAAGTCTCAGAACTAACAAACCAACATGAATAATTGAACAATACGCACATAAGTAGGTATGTCAAACTGACGTAAAAAAAAAACCGCAGTTTTCGACCCGGTCGCTCAAATGTAGTAGCTTTTCACTTTATAGTTTCGACAATAAAAAGGGCTCTTATAGTAATAACCTTGGTACCGTTAAAAAGTAGATGTTAAGCCCTCTAATTATGTGTAATTTTAACACGTTTTTCTTAACTCAGCTTCGCGTTTATTTGTTTGGTTGTTTGGATGTTTGTTGTTAAAATTGACATCGAAAATTAGCCCACTTCTGATTGCTCTAGAGATCTGAAATTTGGAATGCAGGCTATTTTCGCCTAACAATTTCAGATGCAATCATAAAAACTAGCAATTAGAGACCTAAATTAGCTTAATTAAATTACGCCGCAAGGACCATAAAATCGAGGACATGATTTCTAAACATACCGACAAGACTGGAGGCCTATTGACACAGTTACTTCCGCCCAATCGATGTAAGCGCGCTGGCCGTGATCGTATAGTGGTTAGTACTTTGCGTTGTGGCCCCGACAACCCAGGTTCGAACCCTGGTCACGGCATGTAGGCTTAATTAAATTACACCCTTTCTCTGTTTAAAGCGTATCGGTCGCTCAAGATTTTTTTAGTCCGTGTATTTATAAACAATTAGTCAAGTCATACTTAATCAAGTCATTAGATAAAGTAGAAAATAAACTATATAAAAAACTTTTTAAAAACCACGTTTTTATGTGTAGCAACGGACTAAAAAGGAGAACGGACACGGTAACACAATGTTAACGGTGACACGGTTGGTACGCTGGGCATGCTAAAATACACATAAACACGTTTTTCTTAACTCAGCTTCGCGTTTATTTGTTTGTTTATGGGAGATTTGATCACGTGATTCGTGAGTAGATCTCCACGCCAGCAACGTAAATTACACCCTTTCTCTGTTTAAAGCGTATCGGTCGCTCAAGATTTTTTTAGTCCGTGTATTTAAAAACACTTAGTCAAGTCATACTTAATCAAGTCATTAGATAAAGTAGAAAATAAACTATATAAAAAACTTAAAAAACCACGTTTTTCATGTGTAGCAACGGACTAAAAAGGAGAAAATAAAATACTTAAAAAAAACTTTTTAAAAAACTACGTTTTTCTTGTGGACTAAAAAGTAGAAAATAAATGTTCATACATTTGATGACAAAAAACGTGAGTCGGGCAGATGGGTCGGGAAATTTGATGGTGAACGTACCCACGTTTTTTGTCATCAAATGTATGAAAATTCATTTTCTACTTTTTAGTCCACAAGAAAAACGTGGTTTTTTTAAAAGTTTTTTTTAAGTATTTTATTTGTAGTTGTGGATATTAAACAATATATCTCATTTACCAATTGAAAACTATCACCGAGATTATTTTTCGACCCCTCTCTCATTCAACTCGCGGGCCTTTTTTGACCGTTTAACGTATTTCTTTACAAATACCTGTTAAATTTGCAGAATTGAATCTTATAGATGGAACATTCTGAATAATAACTTACATATAACTAAATTATTGGTCTTGCAGTTGCGATCAATCATTTTTTATAATTAGCTACTGTTTTTTTTGGTGTTCTTTAAAGATCATTTTTTAACATGATGATATGGTATGGGTTAGATCACTGTGTTGATCACACACCTCTTTACTGGTAATTGCAAACGCAATATTTACAGAGTTTTATCTGTTTCAAAAGCTATGATTCTGGCGGCATGGTACTTTGGTACCTCATTACGCGTTTTCCCAAATGTACTTGACAGATCAGTTCGGGGTGGGTTGGAGGGATGGGGGTTCAAGTTCATTCACCGATGTCCAGCCACTTTAGTTGATTTATCCTACTCAGCGTATACCTAGGTGTGACATCAATGTCGCTCTACACACTTTGGTGATGAGGTGTGCGTGTGTGTGTGGGGGGGGGGGGGGGAATAACCAGAACAAGCTGGTTTTCGTCGAGGCAGGTCATGTACAGACCACATGGCCACGTTACGCTTCATAATTGAACATTAAGACTTCTTCGTCGGGTAATCCACAAAAGAAAGCTAACAAACCCCTTCACATTGAACACGGGAGTGAGAGAGGGATGTATGCTATCGCCTGTGATATTCTTGATGGTCATCGACTGGATCATGCTGAAAACTACAAACAACGACACATGAATCTAGAGGAGTTTCACCAAAAGGCTGGAGGATCTTGATTTTGCCGATGACATCTGCCTAACTCACAAGCAACAACATGCAATAACCAAACTGAATCGACTATCTGAAGAAGCCTCCAAAGTTGGACTAAAAATCAATAAAAAATCAGGTCATCAGAATCAACAACAACGAGAATCTGTCCATACAGCTAAATGGAGAAGATACACGAGAGACAAATTCACGTATCTGGGAAGCGTGATAAATAAGGAAAGGTGAGCAGACGAGGACACAAAATGCCGTATAAACGGAAAATAAGTGAAAAAAATGCGCAACGGAAAAAGCGCAAACAGAAATTTACGCACAAAGAAAAATACGCAAACAGAAAAATTCTACAAATAAAACGCTCAGCAATAAGGATTATGGCGCTGTGTGTGTTTACAGGTGCTTTTTTTTTTAAAGTTGCTATGTCAAGAACTCGTGATTCTAAGATAGTGGGCACTAAATTTGTTCATATATCTCAAGTATTTAAAAAGTTATGAAGTTTTAAAAAATTGGATTTTAAGTTGTTTTTTTTTTGCGGAATGAACTGTTAAGTCTAGTATTTTAATTATAATAGTGGGTGATTTTCAGGTGGTGTATCAGGGGTGGTTGATGAGAGAGGTTGGTTTAGAATCTTACCAAAGTATCTATCAGTCTCTCTGTTCCGTGTCACTAGTTAGGATCTTTCCTCCTGTATCCTTCACTGATTTGTTGTGATTAATATTTTTACCTGAAAGGTTCTGGCTACTTCATAGAGTCTCTTCATGATTCCTTGCCCTGCTGCACTTTCTGCCTCCACTGTCATCTCTTGTATGAATTGTCTTTTGTCTTCTTTTGCACTTTTCCTGACCATCTTCCTAACCATACTTCCAAGTATTGTGTTCTAAGACTTATTTTCTCTTTGTCATCCTTGCATTGGTTTATCTTCTGTT